TGCAAGGCAGAAAAATTACCAAAGAAAACTTGATTAGGCTGAGTTTTGAAGGCTGAATGGGAATTAGTTAAACTGAAAAGGAGGAAGGTGACCCCAGGAAGTCAGGGCAGTGCAAAGGCTGGAAGCACGCAAGTGCAAATGTCTATAGGAATCTGAATATGGCTATAGGGTTAGAATAAAGAATTTGTTTCAGGTAGAAGCTAAAAATAGAGAAAACTAGAAAGCTAGGTAGAAGAAAGATCATTACAAACCCTGCTTGTTAAACTAGGAGATATTAGCTTTATCCTGAAAGTTATGGAAGGCCAGGAGGTACTTTAGGCAGAGGAATAATTTAATTTTCTTAGTGAAACAATGAAGTTTCTCTTATGTTCCCTATTTTTTCTCTTCAATTTCTTCTATTTATTTTTGTAATTTTTTAATTAAGGTATCATTGGCCTACAACACTGTACACGATTCATAAATATAGGCTCCTACCTCTTCAGGTATATGTCACCCAAAATGTGTACTACCAAGGCACCCATAGTTTATGCTGCTTATTTGGACAGATAAAAGAGGAAAAAAATATGGGAATGGAAAATCAGGAGAAAGGGAAGAGGAGTGGTAGAAGATAAGGAAAGTAAAGATAGAAAGAGAAGGAAGAGGAGGAGGAATTGGACAACTTTTTAAAAATTGTTAAAACAGATTATTTTCATGACTTTTGAACAGGCTAAGAGCTCATAAAGACATCGCAAAAAACAATAACTATATAATTGATAAATGCAATAATATTTAAATTAAGTATACTTGTTCTTCAAAGGAAATGATTAAGAAAATTAAAAGGTAACCCACACCATGGACCAGATCTTTGCAATTAATAATCTGACAAAGGATTCATATACAGAATAACTGTCATCAAGTTATGATGAGAAAAATGATAGATGGATGGTCCAACAGAAAAATGTATAGCCAACTTATAAAATAAACCAACCAAATAACCAAGAAGTGTATGAAAGATGTTCAACACCATTAGCCATCAGAGCAATGCAGATCAAAACCATGGAATGGACTATTGTACACCCTCTGGGTGAGATGAAGAAGCCCACTTTCAAAATCTACCAAAGCTGAACATACATTCCCTATGACTCATCAGTTCTCCTTCTTCTTAATATTTCTAATAGCTAGCACTAGAAACTATCCCAAAGCCCTCAGTTGAACAGATGAATCAGTTATGTTGGATTCACAAAAATGTTATACTACCCAGCCATGAGTAGTGATCTACAAGAGAATTAAAAAATGTGAATGAATCTCATAAATGCAATGATATGCAGAAGTCAGACACAACACATCACATTCTGTATAACTCCACTTACATAAAATGCAAAGACTGGCTAAATTTGTATTGTTGAGTCAGGATAGAAGTTTCTTTGGAGAATAACACTTAAACTCAAGGAATGTATACAGGAATTTTAGACAGAAAATAAGTTTAGAATTCTGAGTCAGGGCCTCCCTGGTGATGCAAGGGGTTAAACACCTCACTAGGAAACAATCCGCAGCCTCTGAAGCACAAGTTTCTTCAGTCAATCTGTCTGTTCTGTTCCCTACTCTGTCTCTGGTGGATCCACTCACTCCCCGCATCTCTGGCCTGTGCCCCAGCTATTGTATGCATAAATAAATAAATGTGTTTTTTTTTTAAAAGAATTCGGAGCCAAACAAAAGATTTTCAAAGGCTTTTATGCAACATCTAAGTTTTTATTTGTAGAATTTGTGGACATTAATGAGATGAGTAAATGGGAGGGTTTGGAGTAAAGACAGTAGTACCCAGTGGGGGATGGGAAAATATACCTCTCTCCACAATAGCCACAGAATCTAAATTTTCCAATAAGTGGCTCACTCCTTTAGTTTAAGAACTTTCCTCCATGGACAGAGTGGAAGGGAGGCAGGAGCATGGCTATCCTGCTGGAATGCAGAGCTGTGTCCCTTATTTAGAGAGAATAGCATCTGAGCGAGAGGGCTCAGCAGGGCCCTAGGACCTGCTTCTAAGTAGTTGGGGAATCCCACTGAGTTGTCAGCCTGGGAAAAAGACAGAATCCACCTAAGCCCTGAGAAATGCCCAAATCCTCTGCAGGCCACTGCTCTGGTGAACCCTCACTCTTGAGAGAGGTCACAGAAATCCCAGGCTAGTGGAAACCATAGGAAGGTGTAGAATGTAGTGCACAGAAAAGCAAAATCTAAAAGCGGCCCACTCTACTGCCTCTAATACTGCAATATCACCAAGAAGTCTCTTTCAGGAGGCACTGGGATAAACTGTAGCCTGGAGGGACACACAGAAGAAGCCCCATTTACCCAAGATCTTTGATGTTGTTGCCATATTGGTGCAGTTCTCAACATCCAAAGATCACATAGAGGTGAACAGTTTGGAATGCAAACTTCCTTGTAGACAGAGGACAGCCATTCCTCATCAAACTGGGGTGATATTGGAGGCTCAGAAATTCTGTGTAAAGCCTCCAAGCAGCAAAAACCAACCATCCAACTTCCAGTAAAGAAGCCAATCTAAAGAACTGGGCCAAGTTAGTCTTCTTCAATCTTTCTTAGCCATCACCAAAAAACCACATCTTTTATACTGAAACACAATACACACAAATACCAAATCTAAGTTGTCTTAAATTGCAAGATACACTTTTGTTTTACCACTAAGAAAGAAAGAAGGTGTTGCCTGTTATAAAACTCATAGATTTCAGAGATTTGGAATGAAACTTGGAAGTCTTAGAATAGAAGGATAGAAAGAATATTTCGTGCAGTACTGGACTTTATTATGAGCAGTCCTCTTAGATATTCACTACTCTGTTCAATTCTACTTACTGTCATTTTCCAGGGGTGACCTAGTAAATTGATTTCAAATCCATGAATTGGTTGCAACCTGCAATTTGAAAAATTCTGGATTAGAATTAAGGTATAGGACTTATAGATAATTTTACTGACAACTCCATTGTGTTTAAATAACCTGCTGGCATAACAACTGAATGTGAGTGATAATTACTGTGACAGTATACAGCAGAATTCAGGACTTAGCATAGGCACAACATCAAATTTAGTCCATCTACTAAGAATCACCTAGAAAGGCAAGGCAGACCAATGTGTAGACATAGCTATGGGAATAATTCAGGACACTGAAATGTGGATGCACATTGCTATAATTAAGCCACAAGACATGTCAGCCAGGGCATTTCTGAGTGCTGATTCCTACATGCCTCCTGTATGTTGTAAGGTATGTATCCAAAATTAGGGTGAGTGAAAGCCCTTAAGAAAGTACAATAATCCTTCCCCACGACACTCATGCCTGGGATGTTAGGCTACTATTTATAAACCTTGGTTAAGAGGGAAAATACCTGTGAGGCTATGGAAACAATAAGATGCCCCAAGTTGAGAAGGTTATTTGAGTCTGAAGAACAAAGCAGGCACATCCATTAATCACACTTTAAATTTATGAAGGGCAACCTACATACAGGGTCCTCAGCACTGAGGCTAATGGACAGGACTTTGGGTTGAGGCAGCATCTACATAACCCACCCTGACAGGGGCCTTTTTGTACCTTGATTGGTACGTGTACTTACTGTTGTGTAAGACTGATGATGTCAGATTGGTGAGCGGGAGAGGGAGTGGGGTGGATGGGACATGTCACTTCATGTCTCTTTTCTACTGAATCCATAGAGCTGTGTGTGGGTCATGAGTACAGATTCACACAGATAAAAGAACCAATGGGGAGACTGATGATCTCCCCAGAGTAGGGTAATTAGTAGTCATGGACCTAAGACAATATCAACACAGGAGGTTTTCTATAAGATTCTTCTTTTTTATGTATGCAAGTATAATGGCCAAATCAGAATTGGTGCCATAGTTTTCCTCATACTTTGGAGTCAGATCTGTTCCACTCAATGAGAGCCCAGGAAGAAATCAGATGGGTTGGTTTTTTAGCTGCTTATTGCTTCAGTCCTTTGTTAGGTGCTGTCATTCAAGGGAGACATGCATGGAGGCACTGAGATCACTGAATAATTTTCTATAGGAATTGCAGACAAGTTGAATGTCCTGCCAGGAGATTGGTAGCATGATATCTACCGAACTCCAAAGACAGGTCAAAAATCATCCACTGAAACAAAATCTTTTGCTTTTCTAAAGGTTTTCCAGTTACAGAATCTACATTCATGGATAACATGCAAGTGGAATGCTTATGAGCTGAACAAAGTTTACATCTTATTTTTTCCATTTAATATGGATTTTTGAAAATATTGCTTGAAACTTGTGTCTTTATAAGCAGAAAATTAGGGCTTTTACTGATCTCAAAAAATATCTTCCCCTTTCCATGGCAGATCAGGTCCCTGGGTACTCTCCTAAATGTTCTGAGTGTTTGGAGTCACAGCAATGAATGGTCATGGCTCCGATGTATCACCGCCCAGGTTGTTCTCTGCACAGCACCCTGTTCCTGTGATGTATTGACATGTCTACCTATAGAAACTAGTCAGATCTCATGCCTCCAGAAAGCAGAAGGAAGCCTCTGCAAGGATTGTGAGTACAAGGAGATGACAAAGAACGTGGAGTGGGCACGTGCTTTTAAGCAATAGCTGCTCTGGTTAAAAGGAAGACATACTAAGTGCTCCCATTGGAGCATCTGTGGCTAGGAAGTGGCTGAGGAGGAAGAGATGAGAACACTTACATACAGCCAGCACATTTGTCCAAGAGTTAGTAGCTTTGTCCTTTACTGGCTGTTTCAGTTTTCCTTTGTCAATAACACACTGTTCCTCATAAAATAGGAACATATGAAATGTACATATCCATATCTCAATGAGTAATTGAAATGCAATATTTGGGATCCCTGACTCACCTCACTTTGACTGCAGCCGAAAGGATGTCTGCAGGATGCAATCTAGCTCTCACTCCTTTTGTCCAAAGTGCATCCTGGCACAGGGTTAGCTCTCCCTGGAGGGAGAGGCCCCTTTTTATGAGTTTGCATCAAGGTGTTGCACTGAGGTGTATGGGTTAATGGAGGGCCCTGCAAATGGGGAGAGAGAAGGAGCAAAATAGTAGTTAGCTCTAATATGCTTAAGATCAATTGCAAATCACTCTTAATTCTTCCTAAATATCTGTCAACTTTATAGGATATATTGGTATTTTAATACAGAAATCTGAACCTTAATTTAACTTTGCATGTACTTAAGATATATCTGAAATGCAATTATCAGACTCTGTTAGAGCCTATTTATTAGAATTTAGTTTAAAACCCCCTTGTGATTTGAGGATGAGAGCTGGGAGCTAAGGGTATCGATGAAGGAAGAAGTCTCAGCATTGAGCAGCTGCAGCATAAACTTCATTCTTAGGCATGCCCCCAAACATCATACTTAGGCACACCCCCCCCCATAACTCCTCACCCTGACCTAAATCCTTGAATGAAACAAAACATTTCTTCCATCTATTTCTTCCATCCAAGTATTGCTTTTCATCATAAAACCAGCTGATTATGTTAAATGTTCATGAACAAGTCAGAACATTAGCACAGAAAATAAGAAGCAGAATTTAGGACTTAGCATAACTTGAAAGCCAATCCATCTATTCAGTGAAAGCATCAAACTGGAAACGGCATGCTGAAACTGACCATTCTAGCCCTGACTCACCTCCCAGGACATTATCCCAGTACTTCACAGACTCTCACAGACCAGTCCTCCTGAAACATTGGCTGAAATTCCCTGACCTGGCTCATGCTGCTTCTTCTTCAGTGAGCATACATTCTCTGATTACCTCTCAAGACTGCTAAAAAGCCTCCTTCTCCTTGAAGCCTAGTCTTATTCCACAGTTGGTCCCTAATTCTGAACCCTTTCAATTCACAGCACATACTTAGGCCTCTCCCAGATGAAGAGCTTCATGCAGGTTCTTCACACTGCCCCCACTCACCTACAACATGGCTGTTTCTTCCTCCTGCAAGCTTTCCGCCTTCTGCTCTCCAGGAGAGAGCCCCCACCCCACCTCTCTTCTCTTCCTCATGACTATCTCCTCCATAATTCTATCTCAGTTCCTAATCTTATTTTCATTCCTTTGTTTGCTTGTCAATTGTTGGTCCCCCTTACTAGATCTTAAACTTCAGTGAGGACAGGAACCTTCTTCCTGTTTTCCCTCCCTAGTACACCGGCAAGCAGTAAATATCTGGTGCATGAATATATGTAAATAAATGGACAGATGAACCACATCACATTTAGTTTTTACGTCTCTTGCATAAGGCAACCAGATAATTCTAATCCAAACCAGAACATTTTTGAGGGTGAATGGGGATGTGAATTATTAATTATATTGAGATAAAACAGGTATAAACTAGGGCCTCCCCGGTGGCGCAGCGGTTGAGCGCTGGGTTGCAAAGCTGCCCACAGCCTCTGCAGCACTAGTTCGATCCCTGGCAGCTCCCCGGCCACCAGAGGAGGGTCCCACATGGCGCGCAGACCCCTCCTGCCGCCCGCTGCTCCCCTTAGCAGTGTACTTCGGTCCTTCTGCCTGCTCTGCTCCCCACTCTGGCTCTGGTGAATTCTCTCACCCTCCCGCGCTTCTGGCTGTACCCAGTGCTTGTATAAATAAATGAATGAATGAATGAATGAATGAATGAATAAAGTAGAGGGAAAGTTTAAAAAAAAAAAACAGGTATGAACTAGACACATCGTCACCACATGCCGTTTCTCCTCCTAAAGGCCACATCTTTACCTACTAAGTTTACAAGATTCACAATATCTTTAGATGTCACTTGTTAAACCATTTGCCTTTTTTTTTAAGATTTATTTATTTGTGCATACAAGAGCTGGGGAACAGGCCAGAGATGCAGAGGGTGAGAGGATTCACCAGAGACAGAGTGGGGAGCAGAACAGGTGGAGCAGTGAAATACACTGCTGAGGGGAGCAGCAGGCGAGTCAGGACAGGTCTGCTGCGCCATGTGGATAGCTCCCTGGCCAGCCTGGGGATCAAACTTGTGCTGCAGAGGCTGTGGATTGCTTCATAGTGCAGTGCTTAACCCCTTGCACCACCAGGGAGGCCCACCATTTTCCTTTTTGAAGACCAGATTCCTTCTCTTTAGGATCTAATCTTTCATTTGATGCTTTCATTGAACAGCTTTGACTGTGTCATTACCATCAGGCTCCAACCCGGCTGAGCACTTTTTCCTTTAGCAAGACTTTCATTATGTCTCCTCTGATATCAGAGGCCTCACCCAAGGAGCCCCAGGAAAGGGACACTTCATTTCAAGGGTAGGTACCACCATCTTGGATATCCTACCTGTGTTTATTTCAGGACAGGCACTACTTGGGCAACATTTAGCGGGACAAGCAGAAACCCCTGCAATGGCTCCACTCTAGCCTTGGAGGAGGGAAGGAGGGGGGATGGCAGACAGAAGGCCAGTGGTGGAGGAAGAGCCTTTCAAATTCAAAGACTTCTAGACTGAAGCTGGGAATAGCTGGAGGACCCCCAAAGAGGAGGGATAAATAGGGACGAGCACAAAGGTCTTAGATTAAAAACTTCTGGTTTGGATTCCTAAGTCTGCTCCTTTTCACAGTGTGACTTTGAAAAAGTTATACTTTGAGGTTCACCCATAGAATAAAATCTAATCCTACTTAATTCTGGCATCATTCTGAGATGATCGGTAAGGCACCTAGCACAATACCTAACTCACAGCAAGTATTCAATAAATGTTGTCATAAAAATAATGACTAGAATTCAACAATAAATAGTATCATATTTATTACAAAACATGGAACTTAGTATAACATAGTCATCAAGAACTGCAGAGCTCTGGGTTCAGATTCTACCAGTGCCACTTACTGCCTGTGTGGCCTAGGGAGAGGTATTTGCCATGTGCAGAACTCAGAAGTCTCATCTGTTAATTGAAGATAATTATGCCAACGTCATCAGATTGCTCTGAAGATTAAATGAGATCACACATATAAAATGTTTGGCACAAGGCTTAGTGTTGCATAATAATGATTTTGGAGTAGAATTTGCTAGATGTACAAGTAGTAAAATACAAACAGCAAGGACCAGAATCTATTTGAGAGACTTAACTGACCCATCCCAAGAGGAGCAGGATTTGTTACAGCTTACCCTGGTGTCTGGATCGGAGAAACACCAGCGAGGGGGAGATGAAGCGACGAAGTGAAAGTTGAGGTATATATTATTCACTTAGATTCTCCATTGGAATAAGAAGAGCAATCAGAAATTCTTGCTCCCTAAATATTTCTAGGTGAAGGAGGGAAGACATACTGGAGAATAGGAAAGGAATTCCAATCTGGAAGATTCGATGATCGCTATTTTCCATTTGCTTTTGTCATTAAAATAACAGAAAATGGCATTCTTTTAGATATCACAAGAGTTATTTTTTAAACAACATATTTTCCTATTTCTCCTGCTTTTTAATGTTGACTATATAGTAAACTTCACTTTGGTCCAAAATTCTTCAAATTTCCCTCCAAGAACTTTACGGAGCACATCTGCACTAGCCTTTGAAAGCTTTCCTCATCCCGTATTATTAAATCAATGTTGGGTGAAACTAGGACTGTCTTGGCCTCACAAAAGTTGTGAATTGTTTTTAAAAGAACACTGCTAATTACCTTCCTGGATTGCTGACTCACTCCATTCCAAGAAGTTTAAGACATGGAAAAATTCATTTGGAAATTCCACTTTTAATGATTCCTCAATTTACAGAAATTGTCTCATGCAAACTATCTCTTTCATGTTAGCATTGAACAATTGTAAATGTGAAAATACCATATGAAAGATATGTAACAAATACTGTAAAATTTTACACACACAAATGCAGACATAGATTTGGGCTACAAAGATACAAAAATTTCCAATTGTTTATGAAAAAATATGCTCTCAACTAAGTGGGCTAGAGATCTTCTGAGTGGTTTGAAATTAAGAAACTGATGAGAAAATGGCTCTTTTTCAAAATCTATTATCTCCAGTTTTTATAAAATGTGAAAAGCACAGAGTTTGGCATTAACCTTAAAGAGTTCCCTGAAATCCAAACCAACATCATTAAAAGGGGAAAAAGGAATTTTTGAATAACCATTGTATCTGCTGTACACACTTTATAACCACTATGTATGACCTTTATGTATGACATATGTCTATGTCACCAGACATACCATGTAAAAACCTGTTTTGCAAATCCTAAATGGGAAGAAAGAACTTGCAAGAGTTTAATTTAAATTTGCCATATTTAAAACTGACTAATTTCTTAGAATTTTTTCCCTTTCAAATGAAATCATTTAATCTCTGAAGACTGTACTCCTCATTTTATGACTGAATGATCTGAGACCAAAAAGACACCTGGGTAGAGCTGCCAGATTTAGCAAATAAAAATACATATACAAACAGTGCATGAGAAGTATGATTTTTTAAAGCGATTCATTATTTATCTAAAATTCAAATTTGGGCCTCCCCGGTGGCGCAGCGGTTGAGCGCTGGGTTGCGAAGCTGCCAGCAGCCTCTGCAGCGCCGGTTCGATCCCCAGCTGCTCCCCAGCCACCGGAGGAGGGTCCCACATGGCGCGCAGACCTCTCCTGCCACCCGCTGCTCCCCTCAGCAGTGTACTTCGGTCCTTCTGCCTGCTCTGCTCCCCGCTCTGGCTCTGGTGAATTCTCTCACCCTCCCGCGCTTCTGACTGTACCCAGTGCATGTATAAACAAAAACAAACAAATGAATAAATAAATAAATAAAACATGCCTCTATTAAAAAAAAAATAGTTAAAAAAAAAATAAAAATAAATAAAATTCAAATTTAACTGGATGTCCTGTACTTTACATGGTTGTCCTACCCAGGGTCACCCAGCTAATGAATAAATAGAAGAGCCAGCATTAGAACAGGCTAGAATTTCTGGTCTGAAGACATCCACAAGACATTGATTCTTTATAATTTAGCTGCTCTGGAAAAAATCAATCAAAAGCTATATAAAGTGGCCCCTGGCCTCAAGGAGCCTAGAGACTAATGGAAAGTTCTAGTAAACCTGAAAGAGAGAAGGGT